AAACACACCTCAGACTTCCAGACTAAAACACTGTGAAATATGTTAACGAACCTATTAACGGCCAGCTATTTGAAATGCAGGAATTTAACCTAAGTTCTACTTAGATAGAGGTATGCGAAGAGCTCACATCAGATCACAAAAATAGAAATCAGAGGGCCGCTCAGCACACAAACATTCAGTGTAACCAGGCCCAGCTTGAAGATACTTTCCCATGAGTAGTAGCAACAATAACAACAACAACAACAAAAACGATTATTGGTCAATTAATGACTGTAAGTAAATAAAAATAGAATGATTTTAAAATTCAGCTATATCAGAATAAAAGAAAATCGATTTAATAATTAAAGTTTTCACCAGATACTTGTTATCTTTTAACTTGGCATTATGTAAGTAGTTAGTATCAATTAAGAAAATGGCTAAAATAAGGTACTTTGTTGTTATGAACACCAATTGATCATGTTACAAGTGAAAAGGGCAAAAAAGCCAGGTTGTTTTGAACACAGGACTATACAGACTTTGGCACTTAAGAGTCAGAAGCCCTGACAACTCATTACTATTCATCCACAAAGGGGAAAAATTGTCCACAGCAGAATCTTAGATTTTCCAGTCACATTTTGCTAAAGAGCAAACACTAGATTTTAAAACAAATTCACAAAAGAGTATGGCAGAATAGAGTGTTCTAGGAAATATCTTCACAGCTTTGCTGCAGTTGATACAGCAATTCATAAAGCAAGAAGAAATGCAGTAAAAACACTTGTAATAATTGGCATATTCCTCCAATCGTATCTGGGAAACAGGCTTAAAAAGTGAGCAACAGGGCCAGGCGCAGTGGCTCGCACCTGTAATCCCAGCACGTTCGTTGGGAGGCCAAGGCAGGTGGATCACGAAGTCAGGAGATCAAGACCATCCTGGCTAACAAGGTGAAATCCCATCTCTACTAAAAATACAAAAAAATTTAGCTGGGCATGGTGGCGGGCCGCCGGTAGTCCTAGCTACTCAGGTGGCCACAGGAGAATGGCGTGAACCCAGTAGGCAGAGCTTGCAGTGAGCCGAGATCACGCCACTGCACTCCAGCCTGGGGGACAGAGCAAGAGTCCGTCTCAGCTAAAAAAAAAAAAAAAAAAAAAAAAAAGTGAGCAATATAGTTCACTATGCCACACATGCGCTGAATAAGTTTTAAAAACCTATTTAAATACCTATTTAAAATCCTAGGCCGGGTGCGGTGGCTCACGCCTGTAACCCCAGCACTTTGGGAGGCTGAAGTCGGTAGATCGTCTGAACTCTGGAGTTTGAGACCAGCCTGGGCAACATGGCGAAACCCCGTCTCTACCAAAAATACAAAAAAAGAAAAAGAAAAAAAAAATTAGCCAGGCATGTAGTGCGCACCTGTGGTCCCAGCTATTTGGGAGGCTGAGGTAGGAGGACTGTTTGAGCCTGGGAGGTGGAGGTTGCAGTGAGCCAACATCGTGCCACTGTACTCCAACCTGAGTGCCAGAGTGAGATGCTGTCTCAAAAAACAAACAAACAAAATCCTATAAAAACCTATTCCTATAGGTTACAAAACCTATTCCTTTCCTCCAACAGTAAAGATGCTTGAGGCTACAATCATAATCCTCCTTTCTACCTATACATCTCTGACCCTCATTCCAGCCCAGAAGATAACCCTCCCAATCCCATGCCCATTGCCCTATGGAGCAAGGACTTCTGTAACCTGCATTGTCCTTCTACACCACCTTCAAGGTCCTCTGGCCTCAACACAAAGCTCAGGTAGCTCACTACACCTCCTGGACTAGATCTAGTTCAAAGTGGCCTACTTCTTTCCCCTCCTGAAGCAATGGGGTGGGTCCCTGAACAATATGCACTTCTCCTGCCCATACCCTTAACATGATGCTAAGATGAGGGCACAAGGAGAAAGAGACTCTTGACCCATCACAAACCAAAGCCAGCTCCACAGTCATGATCCTGCCTGGGCTTTGTCTGGGGCTCTACCAAGGCTGAGCTGCTTCCTGAGCAGCTTGTCAGCAAATATCTCAAGAGTTCCATGGAATGGTAATTAAAAGGACTCACTGAATAACTGAAAAAAATTATTGGCTAACTACTGTACATTTTGTAATAAAAATGCTTATGGTTACAAGAAGGACCTCTTTCATCTATAAAGACAATAAAATAATCTTTGTATAAGTCTCCTATAAAAATATAGTGTAGAAAAAGGTAACTTTGTTTTCTTTAAAGACTCATACATGATCACTAAAAATACTTATTCCCCAGAGATCCCCTCCTCCTACAACACAACACCTCACTTGGCAATCATTTAATCTCATTTGACTATTCCATTTGTTATTTGTGTAGGATAGTTCATTCTCAAATAATGCTTCTGTTTTGCCACTATTTGAATACCAAGTTTCCCTACCTCAGTTACAGATAAGTATTTTCTCTGTTCTCTATCCTGAGCCCTTGATCTGATTTTCTGGGCACCTTCCTCTCTCAATAATGACTTTATTCATAGACTGGTCCCAGAACACATACAGGAAGTTACCCTCTGACACCAGGGCCCTCATTAAACTAGAAATCCAGTGTCCCAGACAATTGTGATTTTTTTTTCTTTTTTTTGAGACGGAGTCTTGCTGTGTTGCCCAAGCTGGAGTGCAGTGGCACGATCTCAGCTCACTGCAAGCCCCGCCTCCCGGGTTCACGCCATTCTCCTGCCTCAGCTTCCCGAGTAGCTGGGACTACATACAAGTGCCTGCCACCACGCTTAGCTAATTTTTTGTATTTTTAGTAGAGATGGGGTTTCACTGTGTTAGCCAGGGCTCTCCTGACCTCGTGATCCACCCGCCTTGGCCTCCCAAAGTACTGGGATTACAGGCGTGAGCCACCGAGACCGGCTGAAATTGTGATTTTTCTACTTAAGACACTTTACCCAGCTAACTCAGGAGGCTGAGGCAGGAGGATCACTTGAGGCCAGGAGTTTGAGATCAGCCTGGGCAACATAGTGAGATTCTGTATCTTTAAAAAAAAATTTTTTTTGCAGCTTTTTGAGTCCACTTAAAAATTTTTTCTTTATTTTTTGAGATGGAGTCTCACTCTGTCACCCAGGGTAGAGTGCAGTGGTGTGATCTCGCTTCACTGCAACCTCCGCCTCCCTGGGTTCACACCATTCTCCTGCCTCAGCCTCCCAAGTAGCTGGGACCACAGGGCGTGTCACCACACCCGGCTAATTTTTTGTGTTTTTAGTAGAGACGGGGTTTCACCGTGTTAGCCAGGATGATCTTGATCTCCTGATCTCGTGATCCACCCGCCTTGGCCTCCCTAAGTGTTAGGATTACAGGCGTAAGCCACCACGCCCGGTCAAAATAAATATTTTGTTTTTGTTTTTTTTTGAGACGGAGTCTCGCTCTGCCGCCCAGGCTGGAATGCAGTGGCCGGATCTCAGCTCACTGCAAGCTCCGCCTCCTGGGTTTACGCCATTCTCCTGCCTCAGCCTCCCGAGTAGCTGGGACTACAGGCCCAGGTCGCCTGGCTAGTTTTTTGTATTTTTTAGTAGAGACGGGGTTTCACCGTGTTAGCCAGGATGGTCTCGATCTTCTGATCTTGTGATCCGCCCGTCTCGAACTCCCAAAGTGCTAGGATTACAGGCTTGAGCCACTGCGCCCGGCCAATTTTTTGTTAATTAGCTGTAGGCACCTATAGCCCCAGTTATTTGGAAGGCTGAGAAGGGAGGATAGCTTGAACCCAGGAGTTTGAGGGTGCAGTGAGCTGTGATCATGCTACTGCACTCCAGCTGTGAGATAGGGCAAGAGCTCATTTCTAAAAATTTTTTTAAAAATAATTTTTAAAAAGAGACTTCAAATCCCAAATGGCAGTGAAAGGCTTAACTTTATGATATACTATCAATCATCCACATGCAACTGCCTGGACACAACAAAATGAGTACACAGACATGAGAATCAAGTAAAAAATTTAAGCTACTCCTCAAACTTGGATAGTTTTTACTCATAGACTAGAATTTGTAGGACTATAATTTTCAATTACATACACACATAACATCATCTACAAGCCACAGAACCAAAATTATGTGAAAAAATTTGAATATTTCAATATGTCACAGAATTGTGCAATCAGCACTACGAGCAATGGGACATCAGCAGTAATCTGGGTGACTATCACTATTGATCACACTTTCAGAGACATGTGCAACAAGAGAACCAGAGTAGCCGGAACACCATTGGGTAAACTAAGCACTTAAATTATTCCCTCTCATCCTCAAAAAATATTAATTACAAAAATAAAAACAGGCCAGGAGTGGTGGCTCATGCTTGTAAAGGAATTTGGGAGGCTGAGGTGGGAAGACGGCTTGAGGCCAGGAGTTTAAGACCTAGGCAACATAGCAAGACCCCATCTCTACCAAAAAAAATTTTTTGTTGTTGTTTTGAGATAAGGTCTTGCTGTATAGCCCAGGCTGGAGTACAGTGGGGCAATCTCAGCTCACTGCAACCTCTGCTCCCAGGCCCAAATGATCCTCCCACCTCAGCCTCCTGAATAGCTGGGACTACAGGCACATGCTACCATGCTCAGCTAATTTTTGTACTTAAAATATAATTTTAAAAATAAAAACAATGCTAGTTTGTATCTGGCCTCAAAGAAAAAAAAACTGTATATGATTCCTTCTCCTTTACTCTTGACCAAGCTGCTTTTCTGTCCAGTTTCTTTGGTCAGGTTCCTGAACCACTTAAAACACCAGAGTTCCTTTATGTGTAGTCAAGCCAACCAAAAGAGCCACAACCTTTTTTTGCCCAGCCCCAGAAAGTAAATGGTGTTAACATGTTTTTCAGTGAAGTGTAGAAGGGAAAAAACAAACTCTGTCTTCTACCGACATCTAAATTTTTGTGGATTATTTTCCTCTTTGATCCATTTTCTCTTTAACCCTTTCATACTGTTTCAGCTCTCTTCTTTCTCTTATTTATTCCTTCATCTCTGTTCCAAGTTCTTTTTGCTCTTACTCTTCTCAGTCTTAAAGGCCAGATCAATACCCTTTCACTTCATTTCCAATAGGAAAGAAAATATATCAGGGACTAGGAAATCTAACTCACACCAATAGCAGCAGCTGCTACTATCATCAACAATAAACAAAATCAACAAGTATCCAAGCAATTATTCAATACCTACTGTAGATGAAACTGTGTGACAAGAATGATGGAGGAGATAAGGTACAAGAGAGTTACTGCTCTCCAAGAACTGACAATCTAGTTGGAGAGATCATGCCAAAATGTGTGAACAGGTAAAACATAAAGCAGTCAGAAGACTGCAGTACATAATCTAAAAAAATAAACGAGCTGTATTGTTTGGACACAAAGGCAGGCATGGCCACTGTGCTCTAGGGGCTCTCAAGGAAACTGACTCAGAGAAAGCACGAGCTAGACTCTGAGGACCCCTAAGGGCAGTAAGAGATGAGGTGGTGAAGGGAAAGCTTTCCAGGAGGCTGACCATGTATAAGAAGGAAGAATATAAAACAGTAAATTTTATGTTACATATATTTTACCACAATTAAAAAAAAAAAAAAAAAAGGAAGGAAGGAAGGGAGGGAAGGAGGGAGGGAGGGACAGGTGCTTGGGCCCCTCAGCTGTCTCTAGCAAGGCAGAAAAAGCCAATACAGAGGGCTTGACAATCTGAGAATTCCTGTGTATAGACAGGAACATCCTTGTGAACTTGGTCAACTGACACTGTCCAGAGCATAGTCACACACTACATAATTCCTAATATTATTTTTTCTAACCTAACATTATGAACATATCCTTTTCTTATTTTAAATACCAACATTGTATATAACCTGACAGCATGACTAAAGCAAAATAAACTATTGATCAACAAGAGAGAGGTGTGCATGGTGAGGAAGAAAAACCCGATTATTGTTTTCTATCAGGGAAATGCCCTCTGGAGGCAGGGGTTCAGCAGCTTTGCTATAGCCATAGTGCAGAAATCCCACACCCAGAGGATCCATAGGTCCCCATTCTTCAGAGTTTTCTGCTCAGCACAAGAGAGAAGTCTACAATCACTTCTAGAAATGAATCACAAATAAAAAAAAAACCTTAGCTTTCAGCTTCCAGCCAGTTGCTAATAAAGACCTGAGTATCTAAATCCAAGATATTAACCTTTGCCAACCATCTGGGGGAAAAAAAATCCCTAAACTAGTAGATAAAGCAAATTTTATAGAAATCATACAAGGCACACCTTAGTTACTTCTGTTTAAGTACCAATAAAATTTATTTGGTTGACATCATGCCAAGGTGCCCTTCTGACCCCAAATTTAATCAGAAACAAAATTCATATAAGAATTCATGAAAAAAGATTAGCAAAAACACTAAAGTAAGAGAAATATTTCCAATTTCCCATAATGGCCAGTGTTAGAGAAGGAAACATGCTTGCTGGGAAACTGTCAAAATGATCATAAAAAATATAAATAATGAGGATAATAACTGGCCTAAGGTGCAAGACATCCAAAGGTATGTTTTAGCTTACGTGTTAAAAAATAAAATGCTTGCTGGAATAATCAACTTTGTTCATTCTTTATAATTCCCATACTAACACCCCCTATATCAATGAAATACAAGCTATAAGAAAAAAATATTAAAATCAGTACATGAAACAAATGAGCTCATTAGCCCAAAGGCAATGATTATTCAGGGCAAACCAGAGGGATCTGGATACTCTCCAGACATTTATCAGTCACTCAGTCATACAGAAGATGGTGATTCTGATGCTTATTGTATCAACCTCATAAAATTCTTGAAAACTCACTTCCTGAAACAAGTGCAAAGTTGTGCAATTCTGCTACTACACATTTCTGGTATGGTACATCTTTCTTGAATCTGTCCCACCCCTCCTTTCTAATTCTTACTAATTTGGGAATCTGAGGACCTTAGATATGCATATATTAGAAAACAAAGCAAATGTAACAAAATGTCCAAATGATGTTGACATACATTTGGTTTCAAGCTACAAGGCCATTCAATTAGTCTGGAGGAGACATTAATTAACAACAGCTCATCCTTAGATTTAACTGGAGGGGGATTACACTGGAGTTTACAACACTGCTCACCTTTAGGACAGAAGCTAAGCTGGTCATGTGCTCATTGAGGGCACCCTCAGATTCCTTGTAGGTCAAGCAAGTGAACTGGTACTCCTCGGGATCAAAGGCATCAGCCCCCTGCTGCTCCACATCGCTGGCTACTCCCACGTAATAGTCCTCTATGTCCCCAGGGTCTTCATCCTCTTCTTCTTCCTCTTCCTCACAATTTGGGTCATAGTCCTCTTCATTGCTGTCAGACCCCTGGCTATTCATGTCCACTGACATCTTAGCATCCAGCCAAGTTGCAGATCAGGAAAGCAGTTGCTTTTTCCCCCTCCCCCCAAAACTACCGATTTCTCAAATGCATTAGTATTTTTGTCTTCTAAGGGAGGAAAAAAAAAAAAAGTGTTACTTTTTCCCCACGACAAGTAGTAACAGAAACAGTTCAAGAATCAAAATGGGACAGTCCTGGCCCTAATCTCACTATAGCCTATTACAACTCTGGTATCACATGGGGAATCTCACCATCATCCCCCTGGCCCAGGCCTATCAAAGGGAAATCCTTCCCTGGAGAGACAGAAGCAGCTGATAAATGGTAACTTCACATGAAAGGCCTGGCATGACAGGGCAAGGCCATCTGCTCCATGTCAGAAAGTCAAATTCCAATGAACTTGTTATTCTTCCCAAAGTCCTTAAGGGAGAAGCACATCCCCATAGCTGGCCGCCCAGAGGGGAGGTGACATAAAGGTTTAACTACCAAAGTTTAAAATTTTGCTTATCATGCCTCCATTAGTATTGATACAGACAGTACATAAATAGGAACACGTCCCGCTATAATATGTAGAAAAAGAAGACCACTGTTTCACAGACATTACTCTTAGATGTCTGAAAGACAGGTGCATAGTTGGTAAAGAAAGAAAAACAACAACAAAAAAACCACATAGGTCTTCAACATCCTCCTCTACTCCGCAAAGCTGACTGAATTTTCAGGTTTAAGGAGTTCTACTGGCCGGGTGTGGTGGTTCATGCCTGTAATCCCAGCAATGTGGAAGGCCGAGGCAGGTGGATCACTTGAGGTCAGGAGTTCAAGACCAGCCTGGCCAACATGGCGAAACCCCATCTCTATTAAAAATACAAAATTAGCCAGGCGTGGTGGCATGCACTTGTAATCCCAGCTACTTGGGAAGCTGAGGCAGGAGAATCACTTGAACCGGGAGGCAGAGTTTATAGTGAGCCAAGATTGCACCACTGCACTCCAGCCTGGATGACAGGAGTGAAACTCCATCAGCCAGGTGTGGTGGCTCATGCCTGTAATCCCAGCACTTTGAGAGGCCGAGATGGGTGGATCACTGAGGTCAGGAGTTCCAGCAGCCTGGCCAATGTGGTGAAACCCTGTCTCCACTAAAAATACAAAAAAATTAAGTGGACATGGTGACAGGCACCTGTAACCCCAGCTACTCGGGAGGCTAAGGCAGGAGAAACGCTTGAATCCAGGAAGCGGAGGTTACGGTGAGCTGAGATTGCACCACTGCACTCCAGCCTGGGCAATAAAAGCGAAACTCCGTCTCACACATACACACACACACACACACACAAAAAGGGAAACTCCATCTCAAAAAAGAAAAGCTGCAGACAGTAAAACGTTACTCAATTACATATAAACAAAAAGAGAATACTAGTTGAGAAAGCGAAACAGTCACAAATCCTAACTTCAACTCACAGAAGATTGTGGCAAACACCCATTAACTTTTCTACACAACTACTATCTCATCTGATGAGCTGTAAGGAACAATCTCAACTAGTGATTTAAATCTAAAACTAGGCCAGGTGCGGTGGCTCACGCCTATAATCCCAGCACTTTCGGAAGCCGAGGCGGGCAGATCACGAGGTCAGGAGATCAAAGACCATCATGGCCAACGTGGTGAAACCCCATCTCTACTAAAAATACAAAAATTAGCTATACATGGTGACACGTGCATGTAATCCCCAGCTACTTGGGAGGCCGAGGCAGGAGAATCACTTGAACGAGGGAGTCGGAGATTGCAGTGAGCCGAGATCCTGCCACTGTACTGCAGCCTGGCAACAGAGCGAGACTCCATCTCAAAAAACAAAAAAAATCTAAAACTAATAGAAGCTTAAAGTGCAAGAGCATTTGGATTTAATAGTATGTAAACAATTTATTTAAATAAATCTTGATTAAATACAAAAGCAAATATAAAGTCTACTTGAAGTAGGTAATCTGTCCGAAAAAAACAACGAACCATAATCTAAAACAAAGACTGAGGGCCAGGTGTGGTGGCTCACAAGTATAATCTCAGAATTTTGGGAGGCTGAGATGAGAGGATCCCTTGAGGCCAGGAGGTCAAGACCCACCTGAACAACCTAGTGAGACCATGTCTCTACAACACATTAAAAAAAATCCCAGCACTTTGGGAGACCGAGGTGGCCAGATCACCAGGAGATTGAGACCAGCCTAGCCAATATGGTGAAATCTCATCGCTACTAAAAGTACAAAAATTAGGCTGGGTGCGGTGGCTTATGCCTGTAATCCCAGCACTTTGGGAGGCCGAGGCAGGCAGATCACAAGGTCAGGAGATCGAGACCATCCTGGCTAACATGTGAAACTCCCATCTCTACTAAAAATACCAAAATTAGCTGGGCATGGTGGCATGCGCCTGTAATCCCAGCTACTCAGGAGGCTGAGGCAGGAGAACTGCTTGAACTTGGGAGGTGGAGGTTGCAGTGAGCTGAGATTGCACCACTGCACTCCAGCCTGGGCAACAGAGCGAGACTCAATCTGAAAAAATAAAAAAATAAAAAATAAATTAGCTGGGCATGGTGGTGCACACTTGCAATCCCAGCTACTTGGGAGACTGAGGCAGGAGAATCACTTGAACCAGGGAGGCGGAGGTTGCAGTGAACCAAGATCATGCCACTGCACTCCAGCCTGGGCAACAGAGTGAGACACTGTCGCAAAAAAAATAAAAATAAACAAATAAATAAAATAAAATAAAATAAGACAGACATAGTGGTCATGCGTCTGTAGTCCTGGCTACATGGAAGATCTGCTTAGGCCTGGAAGGTCAAGGCTGCAGTGAGATCATTCCACTGCACTCCAACTTAGGCAACAGAGATTCTGTCTCCAAAAATAATAATAATAATTCAAGTAAATGCTCTTCTACTTAAAAAGAAAAAAAAAAGGCCCACGTACAGTGGCTCACGTCTGTATCAGTGGCTCACATCTGTATTATAATCCCCACACTTAGGGAGGCTGAGGCTGGAGGATCATTCAAAACCAGGAGTTCCAAACCAGTCTGGGCAACATAGCAAGACCCATGTCTACCAAAAGGAAAAAGAATTGGTAACCAGTCTAAAACACTATGGAGTCCTGAGATATGGTATCACTCTGACACCCAGTCTGGGATATAAAAACATGATCATAGCCCACTGTAGCTTCCAACTCATGGGCTCAAGAGATCCTCCTGCCTCAGCCTCCTGAGTAGCTGGGACTACAGGCATATGCCACCCCCATACCTAATTTTATTTTTTGTAGAAACAGGGTTTTACTACGTTACTCAGGCTGGTTTCAAACTCCTGGCCTCAAGCGATCCTCCTGCCTTGGCCTTACAAAACGCTGGGATTACAAGCAAGAGCCACTGTGCCCAGCATAGAGTCACATTTTTATGTAATAAAAATATCGGCCAGGCACAGTGGCTCACACTTGTTTTTTTTTTTTTTTTTTTTTTTTTGAGGCAGAGTCTTGCTCTGTCGCCCAGGCTGGAGTGCAGTGGCACTATCTCGGCTCACTGCAAGCTCCGCCTCCTGGGTTCACGCCATTCTCCTGCCTCAGCCTCCCGAGTAGCAGGGACTACAGGCGCCTGCCACCACGCCCGGCTAATTTTTTTGTATTTTTAGTAGAGATGGGGTTTCACCATGTTAGCCAGGATGGTCTCGATCTCCTGACCTCGTGATCCACCCATCTCGGCCTCCCAAAGTGCTGGGATTACAGGCTTGAGCCACCGCGCCCAGCCGCCGGCTCACACTTGTAATCCCAGCACTTTGGGAGGCTGAGGCGGGCGGATTACCTAAGGTCAGGGGTTTGAGGCCAGTCTGACCAACATGGAGAAACCCAGTCTCCACCAAAAACACAAAATTAGCTGGGCATCGTAGCACATGTCTGTAATCCCAGCTACTCAGGAGGCAGAGGCAGGAGAATTGCTTGAACCCCAGAGGTGGAGGCTGCAGTGAGCCAAGATTGCATCATTACACTCCCGCCTGGGCAACACGAGGGAAACTCCAGTAAAAAAAAAAAAAAAATCAGTATATCTAAGTTGATATGTTAACTATAAATGCTCCCATTTCTAAAAATTAAAAAAAAAACAAAAACGGCCCTATTCATTACGGGGCAATAAAAATAATGTTTGCAGTCTGACCTTTTTTTTTTTTTTTTTGAGAAGTCTCGCTCTGTCACCCAGGCTGGAGTGCAGTGGTGCAATCTCAGCTCACTGCAACCTCTGCCTTCCGGGTTCAAGCAATCCTCCTGCCTCAGTCTCCGAGTAGCTGGGACTACAGGTGCATGCCACAACGCCCAGCTAATTTTTTTGTATTTTTATTAGAGATGGGGTTTCACCATGTTGGTCAGGCTGGTCTCGAACTCCTGACCTCATGATCCACCCGCCTCAGCTTCCCAAAGTGCTGGGGTTACAGGCATGAGCCACCATGCCTAGCTAGCAGTTTGACTTTTAACAAACTCTTCTGCATGGTAGAGCCACCTAATCACAACTAAACTATGGTGTTTTTTCTTTAGGAGAAAAAGTTAATCTTTAAATTAAAGATACCTGTAATTCTTGGCGATCTCTCAGGCAGATGTCACCCAAGTATTCTACGTAATATGATTTCCATCTAAAATGAAAAGAATTACATTTTTAAAACTGGCATACTGCTTTTGTAAGTTTATTTTTTTTTAAAGCAAAGGTATTTTAAAGGATAAGTAACAAGGGACCGTAACTATTAAATTAATTATCTTCTTTTAAGTGCCAACAAAAATCCATGTCATAATTACACTGACAAGAGTTACATGACCTTCTAAAAAAACAAAGTATTCAGCTAGGCATGGTGGCTCATGCCTGTAATCCCAGCACGTTGGGAGGCCAAGGCAGGTGGATCACCAGAGGTCAAGAGTTCAAGACCAGCCTGGCCAACATGGCGAAACCCCATCTCTACTAAAAATACGAAAATTAGCTGGGCATGGTGGCGGGCACCTGTAATCCCAGCTACTCGGAAGGCTGAGGCAGGAGAATCACTCGAACCAGGGAGGCAGAGGTTGCAGTGAGGTGAGACTGCGCCACTGTACTCCAGTCTGGGTGACAAGAGACTTTGTCTCAAAAAAAAAAAAAAAAAGTATTCTAAGTAAACAGGTAGCAATAATTTAACCTCAATTCTCTCTCTCAGTTTGGAAGACTGTTTATTTTTTCTTTTGAGACAGTGTCTCCCCTCTGTCACCCAGGTTGGAGTGCAGTGTTGCAACCTCAGCTCACTGTAATCTCCACCTCACCCAGCTGAAAGGCCGCTTCTTCACTCCAATACTTCTGTCCTTCAGATTCTCTACAGCAACTACCACAATTTCAATCCTAAATGTTATGTAGATGTTGACAAAGCAAATTGTAACTGACTTAAAATTTAATTTTTACTATAAAATCACCTCCACTGTGGTAATCTAACACAGAATAATGCTAATATTTCAGATCTCACTTTACTTAAGCTGTTGTGGCTCATTTATGTCACATTACTCATAAATGTTATGGTGGTACATGCTTGTAGTCCCAGCTACTTGGGAGGCTGAGGTGGGAGGATCTTGAGCACAGGAGGCTGAGGCTGCAGTGAGCCATGATCACGCCACTGCACTTCAGTCTAGGCAACAGAGTGAGACCCTGTCTTCAAAAACAAAAAAAGTTCCAGGACCAGGTGTGGTGGCTCACGCCAGTAATTCCAGCACTTTGGTTTGGGAGGCCAAGGTGGGTAGATGGCTTTAGCTCAGGAGTTCAAGACCAGGCTGGGCAACATGGTGAAATCTCACCGTTACAAAAAACACAGAAATTAGCCAGGAATGGTGGCGCATACCTGTAATTCCAGCTACTCTGGAGGCTAAGGCAGGAGAATTGCTTGATCTGGGAGATGGAGACTGCAGTGAACCAAAACTGTGCCACTGCACTCCAGCCTGGGCAACAGAGCGAGACTCCGTGTCAAAAAAAAAAAAGAAATTGCCCACAGACTTCTTACCAACCAAATATTTAGGTGGGGAAAACTCCACACTCCTCCAAAAAAAAATAAGAATGCCATTTCATACTAGGTATTCTAGGTACAGATTTAAATGAAAATTTAATTTTTAATCATCTCAAAATTAAATATCCAAATTCTACTTGAAAAAGTGGGCCGGGCACAGTGGTTCACAACTGTGATCCCAGCACTTTGGGAAGCTGAGGTGGGCAGATCACAAGGGCAGGAGTTGGAGACCAGACTGACCAACACAGTGAAATCCTGTCTGTACTAAAAATACAAAAATTAGCTGGGCGTGGTAGCATGCGCCTGTAGTCCCAGCTACTCAGGAGGCTGAGGCAGGAGAACCGCTTGAACCCAGAAGGTGGAGGTTGCAGTGAGCCGAGATCACACCACTGCACTCCAGCCTGGGCGACAGAGCAAGACTCCGTCTAAAAATAAAAAATAAAAAATAAATAAATAAAAAGTGATCTTGTCCTGACAGTATTTTATTTTATTTTTTTTTTGGAGACAGAGTCTTGCTCTATTGCACAGGCTGGAGTGCAATGGCACAATCTCGGCTCACTGCAAGCTCCACCTCCCAGGTTCACATCATTCTCCTGCCTCAGCCTCCCAAGTAGCTGGGACGACAGGCACCCACCACCACGCCCGACTAATTTTTTGTATTTTTAGTAGAGATGGGGTTTCACCGTGTTAGCCAGGATGGTCTCGATCTCCTGACCTCGTGATCCACCCACCTTGGCCTCCCAAAGTGCTGGGATGACAGGCGTGTACCACCGCGCCCGGCCAACAGTATGTATTTCTTTAGTAACATAACTGACAGTAACATTTTTATTTCCTTCGAAACTTAAATATTATCCCCACATCCCAGACAGAAATGGCATAATAGACATTATTTTTGGAGTTCAAGACCAACCTGGGCAACACTGCCAAATGCTGTCTCTACCAAAAAGTCTTAAAAATTAGTAGGTCATGACCGGGCGCGGTGGCTCAAGCCTGTAATCCCAGCACTTTGGGAGGCCGAGACGGGTGGATCATGAGGTCGGGAGATCGAGACCATCCTGGCTAACACGGTAAAACCCCGTCTCTACTAAAAAAATACAAAAAACTAGCCGGGCAAGGTGGCGGGCACCTGTAGTCCCAGCTACTCGGGAGGCTGAGGCAGGAGAATGGCGTAAACCCGGGAGGCGGAGCTTGCAGTGAGCTGAGATCCGGCCACTGCACTCCAGCTTGGGCGATAGAGCAAGACTCCGTCTCAAAAACAAAACAAAACTAAACAAAACAAAAAAATTAGTAGGGCATGGTGGCACATGCCGGTAGTCCTAGCTGCTCAGGAAGTTGAGAGAGGAGGATTATTTGAGTCCAGGAGATTGCAGTGAGCCATGATCACGCCACTGCCCTCCAACGAGCCAGGTAACAGAGTGAGGCCCTGTCTCTAAAAAAAAAATTTTAAGGGGGGATTGCATTGGGAGTTATACCTGATGTAAATGACGAGTTGATGGGTGCAGCACACCAACATGGCACAAGTATACATATGTAACAAACCTGCACGTTATGCACACGTACCCTAGAACTTAAAGTATAATAATAAGAAGAAGAAGAAGAAGAAGAAGAAGAAAAAAAAAAGAAAAAATAAAACTTCCTAAAAAAAAAAAAAAAATTTTAAGGGTCAGGTACAGTGGCTCAGGCCTATAATCTCAGCACTTTAGGAGGTCAAAGCGGGAAGATCGCTTGAGCCCAGCAGTTCAAGACCAGCTTAGGCAACCTACTAAGATTCCCGTATCCACAACAAATTAAAAAAATTAGTCAGGTATGGTGGTACATGCCTGTGGTCGCAGCCACTTGGGAGGCTAAGAAAGGAGGATCACCTGAGCCCAGAAAGTCCGGGCTGCAGTTAGCTGTGATCGCCGCCACTGCACTCCAGTCTGGTGACAGCAACTTTGTCCCGCCCACCAAAAAAAAAAAAAAATTCCTCCAGAGTCAAAGTCACATGTTCAGGGGACCTGACAACCATCCTGGGCTTGCTGACCACGCACAGAACACATAAGTTTTAGTGAGTCTGATGACGTTTACTCCAGATATGATCACTAGCGCTAAATGGTCATTCCTAACTACACTTCCGAAGAAAAACTACTTGGCACAAAACTAGAAATCAGCAATTTCGTTTCAAAATCCTACACTCTATATCTGTCTTTTCTAATACGGTGACCACAAGGCACATGGGGTTATTTAAATTTAATTACACTTAAAAATTAAGTAAAATTTAAAATTTAATTTCTCAGGTGCATTAGCCTAAGATCAAATGCTTAACGGCCACGTGTGGCTAATAGCTATCATGTTGAACAGCAAATGTATAGAAATGTCGCTATGACAGAAAGTTCTATGGGACTGGGCAATGAACAGTACGAAGGCGAAGTCATCCAAGAACGCGGCTGCCCAAGCAGCTTCAGGCGAGGCGGCGACACAGTTCCGGGGCCGCACATCCCGAGGGGCCGCGGGCTCCGAAATATTCGCGCGGCCGCGGAGCCCACGAGCTGGGGATACCCTCCACAGGCGGGCGTTAAACCGCGCGGCCAGCACCGCGAGAGCTCCCAAACAGGACTCGAGCGGGGAGCCCCGAGGCCGTGCGTTTCCCCGCCGCGCCAGACAGGGGGGCCTAGATGTGCTGGCGCTGGTTGGTCAGAGGCGGTGGCCTCTGACCTTTCCGCGAGCTGAGAAGACGGCGGGAGGAAAAAAGGCAGAGACAACGCTGGGCGCCCGGCGGTCCCTCCGCTGACGGCGGGTAATGCTCGGACAGCGAACTGGCGGTGGGGGGTGCCCGGGCCTCCCGGGCGACGGCGAAGGCGGAGTCCCGGCCCGGCCGGGGAGGCTGGCTGAGAGGCCCCCCCAGCTGCCCGCCAAAGTAAACAAGGCCGCGACGTGCGCTGCGCACTTACCGGGAGCTGCGGCCTCGCGGCCGCTGAGCCCGGACAAGCCAGACCGGGTCAGGCCGGGCCAGAGGGACCGGATTGGGGAGAAGCGGCGGTAGAGGCGGCGGGCCGACGCCGGTCAAGCCCGTGCTGCTTCCTCCAAAAGAGTCGTCCCGGCAGCTCCGGAAGTACTTGGCGCCGTTGCGTCACTTCCGGATCGGGGTCGACCACGGTCGCTCAGGTCGCCACTGGCTCCTGGTTAGAGGGCCTCTTTAGCGCCGCCTCCTTGCAATTTAGCGCTCTGACCCATAGTCTGACTAGGGTACGGCAGGTGCCGACCGCGTCTGGAGCCACCATTCGCCTACCAGCGTCTCCCGTTGAGATGTTCTTAACCAACGCGTTTCTCACCGCCTTGTCATTTCACTGTGTACTCCGGGATCGGGCACGGAGAAGACATACTGGCGTCGGTGGAATGTCTAAAGAACCATTGTTTCCCGGCCGCTATCTGGTCTGAGGGGAGCTGGGCCGGGAATTTCTGCCGACACCCCGAGGCGGTCGCCGGGTGGCCCCAGAGCCGCAACCATACCACGCTTTCGCTTCCCCCGCCGCGGCCTCGTTCGCCGCCCAGTTCGACTTACCGTCACCGTGCAAGGTTGCATCTTAACTGCCTTGCTTGCAGTTTCTTTTCACACTATAGGAGTTGTCATCATGACTTCCAGTTACCTTCTGGGACCGGTTGTCAAATGGTGTGGCTAGAACTCAGATTGTTGCTACACCACAGTGGAAATGCCAGTGTGAAGCCGCTGATGTTAGGAAGGCTCCAGGGTGTGCAATTCCGTAGACAACAAATCAAATCATTTCCAACCATACTGGACTCGTGTATATACGCATTCAAGACACCTGTGCTGGCCGGTCGCTGTGGCTCATGCCTGCATTCCCTGCACTTTGGGAAGCCAAGGTGGGAGGATCGCTTGAGCCCAAGAATTTGATGTAGTGAGACCCCTCCTTTCTACAAAAAACAAACAAACAAACAAAAAACTAAAAATTAGCTGGGCGAGGTGGCACACGCCTGTGCGTCCCAGCTACTCAGGGGGCTGAGGTGATATAGGATTGCTTGAGCCGAGGAGGTCGAGGCTGCAGTGCGCCGAGATTGCACAACTGCAGTCCAGCATCGGTGATAGTGGACCCTGGCACAAAGCAACAATAACAAACCATACAATGTAGAAAGCCATTAAAAATCATGCCGGGTAGCCGGGCGCAGTGGCTCACGCCTGTAATCCCAGCACTTTGGGAGGCCGAAGAGGACAGATCACGAGGTCAGGAGTTCGAGACTAGCCACACCAGCATGGTGAAACCCGGCTTTACTAAAAATACAAAAAATTAGCCGGCATGATGGCAGGCGCCTGTAGTCCCAGTTACTCGGGAGGCTTAGGCAGGACAATTGCTTGAACTCTGCAGGCGGAGGTTGCAGTGAGCCGAGATCGCGCCACTGCACTCCAACCTGGGCGACAGAGTTGAAGACTCGTCTCAAAAAAAAAAAAAAAAAGCCGGGCGCGGTGGCTCAAGCCTGTAATCCCAGCACTTTGGGAGGCCGAGACGGGTGGATCACGAGGTCAGGAGATCGAGACCATCCTGGCTAATACGGTGAAACCCTGTCTCTACTAAAAATACGAAAAACTAGCCGGGTGAGTTGGCGGGCGCCTGTAATCCCAGCTACTCGGGAGGCTGAGGCAGGAGAATGGCGTGAACCCGGGAGGCGGAGCTTGCAGTGAGCTGAGATCCGGCCACTGCAAGCTCCGCCTCCCGTGAGGCTGAGATCCGGCCACTGCACTCCAGCCTGGGCGACAGAGCAAGACTCCGTCTCAAAAAAGAAAAAAAAAAAAAAAGGCCGGGCGCGTGGCCTGCCTGTAATCCCAGCACTTTGGGAGGCCGAGGACGGTGGATCACGAGGTCAGGAGATCGAGACCATCCTGGCTAATACGGTGAAACCCTGTCTCTACTAAAAATAATGAACTAGCCGGTGATGCCTTGGCGGGCGCCTGTAATCCCAGCTACTCGGGAGGCTGAGGCAGGAGAGGCCCGGAGCGGAGGCTTGCAGTGAGCTGAGATCCGGCCACTGCCCTTCCAGCTGGGCGACAGAGCCGAGACTCCGTCCAAAAAAAAAAAAAAAAAAAAAAATACCGGTGGACTGTTTGCCTATGGAGTAGCAATTTTTTTTTTTTTTTTTTTTTTTTTTTTGAGGCGGAGTCTTGCTCTGTCGCCCAGGCTGGAGTGCAGTGAGAGAGCCGCTATCTCAGCTCACTGCAACCTCCGCCTCCCGGGTTGAAGTGATTTTCCTGCCTCAGTCTGCCAAGTAGCTGGGACTACAGGCGCGCACCACCGCGCCCAGCTAATTTTTTTTTTTTTTTGAGACCGAGTCTTGCTCTCTCGCTCAGGCTGGAGTGCAGTGGCGCGATCTCGGCTCACTGCAAGCTCCGCCTCCCGGATTCACGCCATTCTCCTGCCTCAGCCTCCCCAGTAGCTGGGACTACAGGCGCCCGCCACTACGGCCGGCTAATTTTTTTGTGTATTTTTAGTATAGACGGGGTTTCACTGTGTTAACCCGGATGGTAATTTTTGTATATTTAGTAGAGACAGGGTTTTACCATGTTGACCAGGATGGTCTGGATCTCTCGACCCCGCGATCCGCCCTCCTCGGCCTCCCAAAGTGCTGGGATTACAGGCGTGAGCCACAGCGCTCCTGGCCTCCTTTGTTTATTTACTTCTTTAATAAACTTGCTTTCACTTTACCAAAAAATAAAATAAAATAAATCATACTGGGTGGCGGGGTATGGTGGCTCAAGCCTGTAATCCCAGCACTTTGGGAAGCCAAGGTGAGAGGATCGCTTGAGCCCAGGAGTTGGAGACCAGCTTGGGAAACATAGTGAGATTCCATGTCTACAGAAAAAAAAAAAAAAAAATGTTTTGGCCGGGTGTGGTGGCCCACGCCTGTAATCCCAGCACTTTGGGAGGCTGAGGCAGGTGGATCACTTGAGCCTGGGAGTTGGAGACCAGCCTGGGCAACATGGTGAAACCCCATCTCTACAAAAAATACAAGTTAGCTGGATGTGCTTATATACCTACTTAGGAGGCTGAGGTGGGAGGATCACTTAAGACTCAGGAGGTGGAAGCTGTAGTGAGCAAGGGATCCGGCCACTGCACTCCAGCCTGGGGGACAGAGCCTGAACCTGTCTTCAAAAAAAAGGGAAAAAAATGCTGTACTAAGGCACCTATTGACAAGGAAAGGTACTTGGGATATACTCAAGTGATAAAAATAGGATGGGGCCAGGTGTGGTGGCTCACACTTGTAATCCCAACATTTTGGGAAGCGAAGGTGGGTGGATCGCCTGAGGTCAAGAGTTCCAGACCAGCCTGACCAACATGGCAAAACCCTGTCTCTACTAAAAAATACAAAAATTACCTGGGCATGGTAGTACGTGCCTGTCATTCCAAGTACTTGGGAGGCTGGGGCAGGAAGAATCACTTGAACCCGGGAGGTGGAGGTTACAGCGAGCCAAGATTGCACCACTGCACTCCAGCCTGGGCAACAGAGTAGCTCCATCTCAAAAAAGAAAAAATAATGGCGTGAACCCGGGAGGCGGAGCTTGCAGTGAGCCGAGATCATGCCACTGCACTCCAGCCTGGGGGACAGAGCAACACTCTGTCTCAAAAAAAAAAAAAAAAAAAAAAAAAAGGCCGGGCGCAGTGGCTCGAGCCTGTAATCCCAGCACTTTCGGAGGCCAAGACAGGCGATCACGAGGTCAGATCGAGACCATCCTGGCTAACACGGTGAAACCCCGTCTCTACTAAAAAATACAAAAAACTAGCCGGGCGAGGTGGTGGGCGCCTGTAGTCCCAGCTACTCGGGAGGCTGACGCAGGAGAACGGCCTAAACCCGGGAGGCAGAGCTTGCAGTGAGCCGAGATCCGGCCACTGCACTCCAGCCTGGGTGACAGAGCAAGACTCTGTCTCAAAAAAAAAAAAAAAAAAAAAAAAAAAAAATACAAAGTCAACCATGGTGGTACACGCCTGTAATCCCAGCTACTTAGGAGGCTGAGGCAGGAGAATTGCTTGAACTCAGGAGGTAGAGGTTGCAGTGAGCTGAGATCACTCCACTGCACTCTAGCCTGGGTGACAGAACGAGACTCTGTCTCAAAAAAATTAAAAAAAATAAATAAATAAATTCAGTACATGTCTCTATTTGTAGCTATCCACACACACATTTACACAAAGCTTTTCATTAGTAACAGGCTATTGCAAATATCGTTCTGCTGCTTTTTTCACTTAGTAGAAGGTGCTATTACTATCCCCATTTCACAAAGAAGTGATCAAACTAAAATTCTTTTTTTTTTTTTTTTTTGAGACAGCGTCTAGCTCTGTTGCCCAGGCTGGAGTGTAGTGGCACAATCATGGCTGACTGCAACCTTGACCTACCGGGTTCCAGCAATTCTCCTGCCTCAGCCTCCTATGTAGCTGGGATTACAGGCACTCACCACCATGCCTGGCTAATTTTTGTATTTTTAGTAGAGACGGGGATTCACCATGTTTGCCAGGCTGGTCTCAAGCTCCTGACCTAAAGTGATCCACCAACCTCTGCTTCCCAAAGTGCTGGGATTACAGGCATGAGCCACCATGCCAGTCCAAGCTAAAATTCTAACCCCAGCCATCTGAATCCAGAGCCTGCCCTTTTGACAGTGCTGTAACCCTTCTGAGTGTGTAACAGTATAAATGTATCGTATTTGACAAGCAATTCTCCCGCCTCAGCCTCCTGAGTAGCTGGGACTACAAGTGCATGCCACCATGCCTGGCTAATTTTTGTATTTTTAGCAGAGACGGTGTTTCAGCATATTGGGCAGGCTGGTCTCAAACTTCTGACCTTGTGATCCACCCGCCTTGGCCTCCCAGTGCTGGGATTATAGGTGTGAGCCACTGCGCCTGGCTATCTGTTTCCAAATTTTCACAGTTATAAAGAGTGTTATAGTGAACACCCTTGGATATAGTCCTTTTTTTTTTTTTTGAGACAGAGTTTCGCTTTTGTTGCCCAGGCTGGA